CATAATTTACGTGATACGTGCATAAAATGGTGAACACGCGCTCGCATCGGTCAAATCGAACCGAAACGAACAATGGGGTTAAATAACCGGTAACTAGAAATAAGCTGTAAGGGGACTACCTGATAGGGAACTAAATGTCCGTCAGCCATTTCTACGGCCTTGAAAATGGCATTGACCGATAACACTTTTTTTCTTTTACATTAGCTTTTTTCTATCTTTTTCATTTACGCACACTGTAGTGATTTGAGCGAATTTGTATGTGATTCGAAAAATTCGCATGGTTTCATGATCGATTTTTACGTTCAGTATGCAGTGTCGATTTATTTTTTAGTCTCGAATTATTCATTTCTGTAGTAATTTCTGTCCTCAACGCTACTGCATTTATCGTAAATCCGGGAATATTAGTCAATGAGCGTAATTAAGAGCGACTGGAAGTTAAATCGAAGAGAAACTGGAAACAAAGTTTAGTCTAGATATCGTTATTTATCGCGCAATGAGACAAAGAAAAAAGTTAAACCCGTTTTTTATTTATCAATGAAGGGTGGTGGTTATCAGGTTCCTACGCTTTTGGTCAATGTATACGGGTGTTGACATACAATATATAACGATCAAATATCCTACACTCGTGGCTGGATTATTCCAGTTGCAATAGTATCGGGTTAGGGGCACTGACAAAATAGTGAAGAAGTGGGATTATTCCATAAAAGAACTCGACCTTGGAAAACTTATTTGCACACAACCAATTAAATGTGATTATTTAATACAGGGGTGGGCAGTAGTGCGCTATCGCTACTTTTCGCTACATAGCGAAAAGCTTATTTCGCTACGACACTTTTTTATATGAACACAGATGCACCACAAAGGACTGAAATTACTTACTATTAGTTAAATTATCGTTCTTAGTGGTATTATTGTTCTGTACCGCAGTATTTATTCCTTTCATTCGTATGTTATACGTCAGGTGATTTGTAAGCATGCATGCGCCGTCCTAATACATGCAGATGCAGTCAATAAGTTACTGCTATAAAGGCAGAATTACAATAGTAGGTCAATACTGTNCACAAACACTGATAATAATGGTATTAATAATTTATAATAATGATTTATAATGCGCTGTCATAAAATTCACAGCATATCAAGTCAGAGATGGCGATAGTGCGCTACTGCCATCTCTGACTTGATATGCTGTGAACATGAAGAAGTGAGCAATTTGTCGTAAGCGGATGAAGACAGATCGTTTTTCTTTTCAGTTACTTCGGTTGTAACCTCAGCAGTGTGATCTTTTCGACGACCTAGAAAACGTGACGCTGTTTTTGATGAATTTTAGCTAATCCCACGAGGTGAGAAAACATCGATTATGACATACATTCAGGCCATTGTTCATGATTTTCAGAGGGATCTGTCTTAAGGCAGTTTCCTACAACTCAGCAGAAACGGTTGATTTTCGATAGCTTTCCAAATGATAGTAAAAGGATGAACTGAACTTCTATATGCATAATAACATGGTGAAGTTATTGCTAAATGCAGTTTTCAGGCATGCACAAAGTGATACGTTTGCCAGTGGATCATGTAACGCTAACCGCAAATGGATGCAATATCTGTACAAATTATCTCGATTACTCGTCTTTCGATAGCATAATCCTTGGTTATATGAAACATTTAACGGACCATGATCAAAATCAGAATAAAGTGTCTAGTTCATCAAAATTGCGTCATATTCATTTAGCTAATATTCAGTTCCCGTCCATCTCATGTTTTTCGGTTCGTTACTTTCTCTTATATTCAACTCTTCTTTGAATCATTTTCTAACTACGCCGACTAATATTTCAGCTGCATTTTTCGCTGATTATAGTAGTGATAACAGTTTTGATGGTATTTATACCCAATCGTTGTGGCGTACTGATCGAGAAGATATCTAGGTTTAGAATTGCAATAACTGAACACAGATGCACCACAAAGGACTGAAATTACTTAGTTAAATTATCGTTCTTAGTGGTATTATTGTTCTGTACCGCAGTATTTATTCCTTTCATTCGTATGGTATACGTCAGGTGATTTGTAAGCATGCAAGCGCCGTCCTAATACATGCAGATGCAGTCAATAAGTTACTGCTATAAAGGCAGAATTACAATAGTAGGTCAATACTGTTCACAAACACTGATAATAATGGTATTAATAATTTATAATAATGATNTGACAGCAATATTAATGGTGTAATCAACATTAAATAATGATTGCTATAGTAATGGTAATAAAATCGTTAATGATTTCAGTTTGACGATAGCGATGAATGCTTCCAGTTGATATTGAAGGATGAGAAACTGATAAATGAGTGTTACAAAACTGCAAAAGATAACCAATTAATCGTGAACAGAAATGAAAATAAAAAGAACTGTGACAATGAACTAGCAGATGCCAAAACGAATGATCGCTTCAAGTGGGTGATTTATTCGGATTTTTCACGATCGTTTCGAGTTTTTCACGGTTGTTTACTAAGAGTTTACTTCTCAAGGGAACCGTTGGAAAAATCTCTGGATATTTTGCCGACCGTTAGTGATTGTCGTTCGAGTCTCGTAAGTTCACTCAAAAATTAAAATTGAATGAACTGAAATTGAGTACGTCATTTTTGATGCAACAGGGTCGCTTTTATTTTGCGAAGTCATCAGAGAATCACTAAATTTCAGTCAGTTGAAAATTCATTTTTCTGATGTTGTGTCGTGGTCAGAATTCAAGCAGCTCTTGATGGATGACATTCAAAGAGCTTTTTCATTTATGCGAAAAGTACCTTGTGGCAATGACGATAGCGGAACTGATCTCCAAGGTTTGCTCCTGATTTAACAATTTTCAATTCGAGCATTTAACAATCATTGGTATCAATATGAATTGTTCTTCCCAATATTGATCCTCATTTTACTTATCATCTCAACTGAAAATTTGATGGTTGTAATTTCATTGTGTGCACTGCTAGGATTTATCCGTATTATCAATTATCAGATTGCTAAAGTTTATCTCACTCCAGTTGAAGGCGCATTTTTGGGAATATTTATCCATTTCTCACTATTTATTTATTTCTTGAAATCATGTCTTCACAGACACATTGCGGTAGCAAAGTTATAACGATTTGGAATGCTAGACGTTTTCTTTAAAAAGCAAGTGATAATTATTGATTTAAGTATCATGCGGAATGCATGTCATCAATTATGCTTCGCCGAAACCTGCTGGTGATGATACTGCGATTATCAGCGACGAATGCCAACAGTCGTCATCAAATGCTATTAAAAAAGTCAAGAACGTTTCACAAATTAAGCACGATTTGGAACAAATTTATATTCAAAAGGTTAGTTTCGGTTTGATTGATATAAACTATTTCACTGATCAGCGGTATCTATTTTGTTCTCTTAGATTGATAATCTAAAAATAGTTTTCTGCTTATTTCAGTCGAACNATGCTAATGTCGCCGAAAGCGGCTCTGATTTGGCATCATCTCCAAATATTTCATTCGAGAACAACTCCGATTTAGTAAAAACCCAGAATCATTTGCTTTCAACGCCGTGCTTGATTTCATCCTCATCAACTCAACGGAGTGAATGTTTCAGCACGATCACCAATGATGGCTCACGTATGTTTTTTAAAGATTCAGATGCTGATATATCATCGTGAAATAATGTTACCTACTGAATTTCTGTTGAAATCTACCATTTATCTTAAATGAGTAGATATCGATATTATTCAAAATTCAGTCATGATACCGTTAAAAGTTTAAAATCCATTCATTCGCTGTTCGATTGTAGTAAGTCTTATGACAGTCACAGGAAAATGCTCGGAAAATACCTGAATAACGAGCAGTTGGGTATATATTTTCAACGATTATCATCGGGTAGAAAACTTGATTAGCTTTCGGGTTATTCATACCGTGGGTTTTTTTTTGATATTGTCTCTGAGCATCATTTAAGAGCAGTTAAACTGATACTCTCATCGTCATTGTATTTGATCGATTTGAATTATACAGCGCCTTACTCATCAGACCGTAAGTTATTGTATATGGTGGGGTTTAATCGTTGACTGTTATTTGTTAGTGAGAAGTATTTATTCGGAATCTTTCTTGAATGAATAAAAATATTATTTGCAGCGGAAAAATACTCCCAAAAATCGATGACATCTGATAAGACGAATGAACGTGAAAATGAGGGTGACTGCAGTGATGTTGATCGAAATGCACCAGAGCCAGCGTCGAATAAAAAATCGAAGATTGCAACCGGACCTGGTCTTTATGTTCCTCACAAACTGTTCCTCTATCTTCTCTCAAATCTTTTGAGACCATTTGCGAAAGTGCAGTCATTGGGGAGTGGAAATTTAATGATATCAATGAGTACGCTTCGACTTTATTTTACATTCATTTTTTCGCACATTTTTGTATTTATCACATCTATTCATTCTATCAATTTATTATTTGATTATTGATAGTTTGATTTCAGGGAATCATTTGTTATCATTGGGAGAAAATGGTGGAATGACACAACTTAATATCACTGCGGAATTATCGAATCCGGTGATTTTAGAATGTTTACTTATTTTTATCTATTCAGTCAACAATTACGACTCATTACGAGTTTATGCCTCTCACCAATTATAAATATCACATTCTTCCTTCTTTGACATCCTTCTTTTCGCGCAGCTAACATTATTATCATAGAGAATTATCCGGTTTCAAGAAAATCTTTGATGATTGATTTGGCGAGCGTAGATGTGTAGGGTTGCTCTTGTATATTGCCCAATGATTTATAGGGAGAGGGACTCAAAATGAACCCAAAAATGCATGCAAATTAAATATGAAAATATATTGAAAATAATTTTGATCCACTGAAGGTATAGTGTCAGCAGCAGTTGTATCATATCGTCTTCGAAAATTGTCTGAAGTGTATATATTTTCTATAATTTGCGTTATCTGAAGAGGCCCTCGTGCTTGTCCAGATAGTTGCTAAACTTGATGAACATTTCAGGGTTATTGGAGGGAAGTCAAAGGGTTATGGGACAATATTGATCAGCAGCGAATTGCAATTGATTACGAATTTGCTTTCAAAAGGATTATTTCATTTCTATATTGGACTCAGTCAAACTTGGATTCTGTGACAGATTTGGGATTGTTGAATGTTGAAATGGTAACTGAAGTTGCTTATGCGACTGATATTCCGTGAATTGCTGCTTTGTGTAAGCCTAATGATATTTAACAATATCACTAATAAATCAGTAATTAATTTACTTCAGTTAATGATCTGTCGAAGCTCCCAGTGGCATGAAACAGCGGCAACAAGAAAACGATTCGATGCGTGTATGAGAGAAATATTCATGAAAATGACTGATCTGATTGCAATACGTAATTGGTGTGGTATTTTACGCGAGAAAACTGTATTCGATGTTGCAAGAGTAAGAGCTCAACGACTTTCTGTGCTTGATTTGGGAACAATGGTTGTGAAGGTGAGTATTATTTTGTTTATTCATCAAATACATGACCTGTCGGTCATCCCAGTTTGATTTGATGCCCTTATAAAAACTTCCGTTTTTACTCATTGTCTAACATTTGATAGTTTTAGGATGTTTAAAAGAATTATCATGATGAAATTCGTTGCGATTTTCTCTCGTTGAACTGGTGGAAATGATATTATATGGTACAGGCAATTGACGCATCAAATACCTTGTCTGTTTCAGGCCCCATTCAGGCAATGGAATTTGAAGAAATTATTCCGCGAATTAGGAAATCTCACTGATTTTACATGGCTCAACTGCGACTTGCGTGCAATTGTTGAATTGCGTTCGGTTGAAAAATTGAAACGTTTGGTAATGTGTTAACGTTTTAGTTTTCCTTTTTGCGTTTTAGTTTTCCTTCGACTGGCGCGAAAAGCTAGTATACAATGATAATAGTACTCAAGGATAGTACTTAAGTCAGATAGAAATGATTGAGCAATGGGCCGATAATATACTGGTGTAACGCTGGGCTTTGAGGATCCGATCTGTTCAGAAGGCGTGAATTGGATTCCGCGTCGGTCCAGAATCTTTGACAAAAAGTTCGATCTCACTAAAGAGATAAACACAAGAATATGTCGATTTAAGAGGTATTCAAAAAGGGCTTAGTTTCGACATGAGGGCTCAGCCGGTGATAATATAGCTACCAACCGGACAAATATGAAGATATTCAAAGACGAAAACAATATCTCACGATGTCACGGTAGATTGACACAATAATGCCCAATTTCGTACCAGAACAGTCCGTTAACTTCACTCATAATTATGCAATGTCATAAAATTGCTGGTCATTCAGGCATGCCGCAAACACTCTGTAAATTCAGGGAAAGATTTTGGACTCCTCACAGTAGATCAACGATCAACAGAATAATTAGGCGAAAATGTATACTCTGCAAAAAGTGGAACGCCAAACCATTCCAACTACGGAGCTTCCCTCAATTGCCTGCCTTCCGAACAATGAAAACCAGCGCCTTTCAAAATGTGGGTCTGGATTATATGGGCCCGCTAATGATGAAGGAAAAACGTTGGATATCTCTCTTTACCTGCTCAGCAACAAGAGCTATCCATCTCAAACCAGCCGAGAGTTTATCCGCAGAAGAATTCTTGCATTGTCTGCGACGCTTCGTCACAAGAAGTGGAACTCCGGAATGTATCATCTCAGACAACGCCACAAATTTTACACTGGCGAAAACGGCATGCGACAAAGCCATCGCTTCAAGTATCGAATGGAAATTTATAACGCCGTTTGCACCATGGCAAGGTGCAATATATGAAATGCTGGTGG